TTTGGTTCTTTTGATTCTCCTTAGAATAAATAACGGATATGTTGTTATTATAAATTTAATTTTTTCGAATAGTTGTAACTTCTGAATATTTAATATTCAATTACGGAGACTTTTCGTAGAGTGGACAAAATTAGAACATCTTAATCTTCTACAGACTTCAACAACAAATAAACTGAGGGAGTTGCATAAATTTAGATTGTGATAGATCTTAGAGTAGTTCAGAATTAAATAAAGAATCATTTCTCGCAGTAGGAAAAACCTGTTTCCTATAAGATGTTATTAATTCCCAATGGTTTGCCACTTTTAAGACCATATAGAGGCGAGGCTATTTACTGTTTTCTTCCCTTCTCTGTTGAAATTGTAACAGTAGTAATAAGATATACTACAACCGATACTTCATGCAGAGGGTAGGAGACTGCAGTATTGAATTATGAATAAAAACTACTAATAACAGATATGCCTAGATATAGCGACGTTTTCCATTTTGCATATCGTTAATTATAGTAAATTAGGGAGGAACATACAGCATTCTTCCTTTGGAAGCTGTAAGCGAACTCACATTTTCGGTGTAAACTAATGATGAATGAATTTCGAGAGTCCTAAGGGAGATAATAGCTGAGAGAATAAACATAATTTAGATACCTGTATACATTTCTATCATTTATGGATAACAGCCTATTTGTTCTTGAGCTGTTTACACCTTTGTAGAGAACATATATATACCCATGAATATGAATACATATATTTATGCTTCTTCCCCTTTATATGTCGGATTAGTTAATATTTCATAGAAATAGGAAGTGCTAACATCGTGAATTCTCATGCCCATCTGCTGTCTTACAGAGGAGAGCTTCCGAATAACAGAACGAAAAGGAAAAATAATAGTACTAATGGTACAACTTCTTACGGAGAAGGAGGAATTACTTAACATTATATGCAGATTTCAGTTAGAAGATTATTCATTTGGCATAAGAATTTACTCCTTAGAATTACATGATTGCTCATGACCTTTCTTCCTTATGCATATATGAAGGGAGTAATGGATTGCTGAATTCGGACTGGTATAATATTGGTTCTAATTTTATCTTGAACTTTAATAGTATGTTTCATACAATTGAAAGGGCTCCTATAGCGTCTAAATACGTTCATGCCACTCTGTGGAAACTGCTATAGCTGCAACAGAATAGAAATATTCAATTCTAATAGGGACACCGTGATATGCTGGGTGGTCGTGTTTATATTCCTTCCTTCATAGTTACGTTATTTCTTTGAATGTGTTCTCATGCTCCATCCCTTCTGTGAGTGTGCTCCTTGATGTTCTGATATTTTCACCAGTAGCCCCCTGCACGTTGCACTGTCCCTGTGTATGTTTTCTTCCCGTTTCTACATTTTTATAAGTATCTTAATTCATATCGCAGCTCCCTTGCATATCAGTTCCCATGCCCCATAGTACCTGTGGATTCGCCTTGGTGTTGTATCATCCCCATGAGTCTGTTTTATCATGTTTCTGGACTTTTATGAGAGTATTCTTTCATGGCACCCTTTCCCTAGATATGCCAGTTCATGTGGCCTAATTTCCCAAAGGTGGCTTCACGTCGCGTGATTTTGCAAAAGTCATTGCACGTGGCCGAATTTCGGGAATTCGGTTTCACGTGGGGTAATTCCTCCAAAATAGGTTCATGTTGCGTACTTTTGCCAACGTAGTCTCATGTGGCCTAATCTTGCCAACGTGGTTTCAGGTGACGTAATTTTTTGCGGACGCGCCTTCATGGGTTATACCGGTCCCACGCGCGGTTCGCTCCTGGTCTTTATTATATATATTTCTCTACTTAACCCTTTCATGAGGATACACTTCTTTGCGGCATTTCTTTGACGAAAATTCCTTGGATGGTTCCGTTATAATGACATCTTTCGCAGCACCTCTATGAGGATACCAGTTCCCCTGGCATTCCTATGAATATGCCTTTCTCTGCTGTATTTTTATCACCATTCTTTGTGTGTAGTTTTTCCATCAGGTTGCATATCTTGTCCTTCATTGTTATAGTGTTGTCCTTCCGGATCATTGTGCTCCTGTGGTGTCACGTCACTTTGATGTGTACTGCTCTTTCGCGGCACTCTGATACTTTTCCTGTGTGTTGCACTCTTCTAAGGATTCTTATATTTCGCATGTCACTGTAATAATGATTCTTTGGGTTAAATTTCTGTATAGCTACAGCCCTGTTGTTCTGTCAATATGAAGATTTTTCTGTGTGTGGCATCCTCCTCAGGATGATATTTCTTGTTGCATTATTATGAAGTTCTCTTCTCTGATGTTGTGTTATTGTGAGGTATCTTCTTTGTGGGGCATCCATCCTCCTATGAGTTATTTTACGGCGTCCTACTCTTAATATATCCTTTGGCTCGCCATTTTTATAGAGACTTTTTCCTTTGTCGTGTCACTATTAAGATTCTTCTCGTTGTTGCAGTTCCTTTCTGACGACAGTCCTGCTCCGGGGTGTCTTGATGACTTTCCCCGGGCCATGTGATTATGAGAATTTCTTCTGGCGTGGCATTCTCACGAAGATTCTTTCTACCTCGTTATATGGATGATATTCTTCTGTTGGACTCGTTTATAAAAATGCCTTTTCTTTTTATCATGTTATTGCGATGGAATTTCCTCGCCAGGCATTTGTTTTATGAAGATATTTCTGCTGTGCGGCATCCCTTATAATCTTATTTTCTGGCTGTAGCTTTAATATATGGTTCTGTATCATCTCTTCTATATGGAGGGCTGTTCCTGGCGCCGCATCGTGAAGATATCCATTTATTTGTCATGTTTTCTACGACGATCTACTCTCTCTGCTGCATTTTGAAGATATCCTCTCGGGGATCACTTCCTTTATGAATATTGTGGTTTCCCTCGGCATGGTTAAGGTCCTGTTGCTTCGTTTAGTTCTTTTATGAAGATTATTTTTTCTCCTGGGATCTCCCCGACCTTTCTCAGTTTCGTCCCCTTGAAGATGTTTCTTCGCATGGATTATTGTGAAAATATTCCTTCACGTTACATCATTGTGAAGATGCCCCCCTGGCTGCCTCCTTCTGGATAAGCCGTACTGTATATCATTGTTTTGTATTAGAGATTCCCCTTCCTTAACATTCTGATGGACTTATTTTTCTTCTCTCTATCTGAAGCCATTATGAAGATATCTCCTTCTTTTGGCTATTTAGGAAGATGGCCACGTATGTGAAGTATAAATAGCATGACCATACTGATGTGGTAGCATTACTAAACGTGAATAATCTATCGATGTGTGAAGGTGCACTCTTATCCCTGGTGTATTACTGCTTTAAAAGTCATGATGTGCATGGAATACTATTATGTGAAAAATACTGTTACCTGGGTACCATTGTTAATTGAAAACAGGAGTTGGGTCAAGAGTATGGATTCCCTAGTATCTTATTGTAGGAAAGCTATTGACGTGTTTATAGTACTTATATGCCGAGAGAATTGACATGTTCATTGTCTCGTTATTTCAAGAGCAAAAGGCATATTCGTGTATTCTTCGCAAAATATTGGTGTGCGCTTCTGACGCTGTTGCTGCTCCTGGATCCATGTCTACTATTGTTATATGAAGTGCATGAGTAATCTACAGCAGTGGCTTAAACCGTACTAAGGTTTCTGGATTCTCAATGGTCCACATTCCTGAGATTTTCATGGTATTGTCCTATGGAAGTGCTAGTAGCATAATTATTTGAATGACCTCTAGTGCTATCATACTAAGCTACACCTTTATTTGTTGTGTCATAATGTATATCACTATATTCAAAATAATATGTTATAGAACAGTGGCTGTGTGCCAAGAGTACCGTTACGTTAAGAATATTGTTATGTGGAAAATACTTCTATTCCAATGGTACAGTGTCTTAGTGAGTATTCATGGTTGGAAATGCCAATATAAAGGAACTACAGACGTATGTATCGTACTCCTATCTGAAGATAGGTGACGTGTTCGGTACGCCGCTATCTGGAGAATACCGAAGTTGAAACAATTGTATTAAATGATGTGGTCTTGTGATAGGATATATCTCGCGTAATCTCTTAATATTTGAGGAAAGCTGTTTTATGAAGAGTGAACAAGCTCTAGTATTATTCTTAGGTGAAGGAGACTTCTGTGTCCAATTTGCTAAGGTCTGAATTGCACTGTCAATTGAAGAAAACTATGGTTATGTGGGGGGTCATGTACCTTTATGAATAAGTCTATTCCTGGGTTATTATGATGTCAAGTGTCTTGATGTAAGTCTAATGACTTCATTGGAACACGTGCGGGATTCCGGAGCTCCCAGGCCCCTTATGTAATACTATTACTTAAAGAGTATTGCTACTCCGGGAGTATGATTATGTTAGGAGTACTTGTTTGTCTCCGCTATTGAGCTTCCAGGAGTGCTATTGTTCTACGGATACTATCTGATCTGAAGTTATGTGCGTCTATTAGTAGGACTATATCTGTGGTACTATCCTTTAGAGAGTATGCGTGTACAAGTAAAATGCTTATGTTAACAATACTCTCGGTTGGATAATACCTTCATTTGAAATGCACACTTGTATGGGAAATATCAATGACTTGAAGTATCATTCTGTGAAGAGTACATAGGTATATGCCATAATCATATTTCCAGAGTGTTAAAATGCTTGGTACCTTACTATTCGAAGGGTGACAAACTTATGACCGTACTTTGAAGTAATGTATGTTAAACTCGATATGATATATGGCATAATGTTCTATTATATGCAGAGAGTTACACCATAGAGGGTACGAGCGTTCCCTTAATAGTTTTATATGAAGCGTACTGTTGTGTAAACCGCATAGACCTCCTCAGTCTTTCAACTTTTGAAGATTATTACGGTTATGTACCGAATGCTGTAACTAGATGAGCATTCTTGTCTTTGAAGGGCCATTATGTAAGGGGGGGGTATTTAAGTTTAATGGTCCAATCATATGAAGTAAGGCATTGTACAACCTTTAAGAAATGTTAGGGACACCACTGTTTCGATAGTACAATGGTGCCAGGAGTACTACGATATAAACCTTACTTGTGTGTGTGAAATATTCATATTCCACGAGGGTCATTATTTGGAGAACACTATTCCGTCGAGTGTATGAATATGGCAACCGGACTATTGCGTGTACAGTACAGATGTGTATGGATTTGCAGTGATGATGATTACGGAAGTTGCTGTAGTAGCGTTGTGTGAATGTACTAATGGCTGAGCTGTGGTAATATCTGTTGTGCATTGTTTTCTTAATAGAATACCTCCGTAGGTAGTATGCATAATCGGAAACCATATTTAGTGAGTATACTGATGTGTGTAGTACAGTCATTTAGGGAGCACAATTTCGGGCAGATTATTGATGTGTTTGGAGCACAACTATTTGAAGAATCTGAACTTCAAACTCCAGGATTTCGGCTGCTATTATACAAAGGACACTACTGCTACGGACTGTTATCAGTTCTTGAAATATTATTATATTAACAGTGGTGAAAGGCGTGAAGCTCTATGACTTTAGCAGCACCGCTCTACCAAGTGTACCGAAGTCATTAAATTATGCCTGTGTCAGAATAAATTCTTAGCTTCGAGTGTTGCTAATCCCAGAGTACTATCATGTGAATAGTCTGGATGTCTGCCGAGTATACATATGGTAGGAATAACAATGTGGGGATGAATACTAATGTGGGCGCCGTACTATGATTTAAATAGTATTGAAATACAGGGGATACCATTATTTCAACCATGTATGTGTGTCTCAGGAATAGTATTATATGAATGAAATCATTGGATGAAGTTGACAGATATACGTGCTGTAGTTTTATATAAAGAGCACAACTGTATGAGATGGTGGAACATGCAAGAAGTGTCCATGGTTGTGAAGTAAAAGTCTGTACGAGCACTATTATTATATGGGCGTCGAGGGATTCTACAAGTATTGTACGAAAAGCTAAATCCTTTGGACCCAAGACACCACTCGAAACACGTTTATTTCCGGAGCACCAATATATCAGCGGACATTCAATCTGGCAAGCGTCAGTAAATGGAGAGTGATAATGTGTGGAGTCCAACAGCATCTTGGATGAAGTACCATATAAGATGTAGGGATGTGCTGGGGAAATGTTATCTGAACAGTACCCTTTTGCCTGGAGTCCCCTTATTTGAGGAACCCATCCGTGTAAGGGGTAGGAATATCGTGCGGTGTCACTGTATATGGAACATACCGAGGTGTTGGTAGTGCTTACATGTGGAGAGTACTTACACCGTCCTTGTATTAGTATTTGAAGAGAGCAAGTGCACTTGGAGTACAATTATTTGTACAATACAGGTGTGGATTTTCCTTGGTAGTGATGGGCGGGGTTATACGTGTACTATTATTATGTCAGGACTACAGTCGTCCATGTACTAGTGTATGTGAAGGATTCAAGGTTTATGCCTTCACTATATGAATAGGAGTGTTGTGTGAACCGCATGGATATTCCAGTATAACTATTGTCTGGAAACTGTGGATGTCTCTGGATCATCCATCCTGAGGAGTTTGGAGATCCGCATACTACTATTCTATAAAGGTACCAGTAGTGGAGCTATATGGATCACCTGGAGTGCTATTATACAAACGGAAGCATCATGTGTCAGGTGTTTTGCCTTTATGAGTAGGATTACCCTTGGAGTACGATTCTTTGATAGAGTACGTTAATACAGAAAGTATCGTCCTGTTTACATTAGTGTTGTGTGGATAATACTTCCATTTGAACAGGATATTCGCTGAAGGAGTACTTATGACTTGGAGTACTGTTATGGGGACACTATAGATGTATGTAAAATACTCATATCTAAAGATGCCTGATATGGTTGGTAGGACGACCTTTGATCAGTGGCAAAGTTAATCCCGTATTATTAAGTAAAGTAAAGAGAG